TAAAAAAGGTTAAGGCCCCATCCCCCAGAGGGATGCCAGCTTAACCAATAATTGTAATGGTACAGGCAGATATAGGTCACTAAGTATTCTTTCCTTATCCAATAAACACCAACAACTCTCCAATTCATTATTTCCCTTCTTCCTCAAGAAAATTAACTTAGTAAGGCAGTTACTAATGACTTTAGCTGCTTTTAGTCATTGAGGATTTAGCTTTTCAGAATGGTTCTTCAAAAATCATTCATTTACTCATAAAGCAACAACAATAAAAACTGAACCAACAACCATAATTGGTTTTTGTCCTTCTTTCCTAAAGAGGACCAAAATGACATCACTATGTTGGGGTCAAAGTATGGTGTGTCCAACTGTGGCTGATCAGACCAATGTGAGCTTGGAACACTCTACCACAGGTCAGGAAGAGTCTATGCAGACATTTGTAGTAAAGATGTCTCAAATTTGTACATTTCCCATCTCCTTTGAGCTACTGCAATTCTGCTTTGCTCATAGAGCACAGTGCCTTCTTTGATGCAGGCATGCCATGCTGAGCAGTTCTGTGCCAGTGTCTCCCATGTCTCATAATTGATTCCAAAATTCTTCACAGAGACCTTGAGAGTGTCCTTGTATTACTTCTTCTGACCTCCATGTGAGTGCTTGCCTTGAATTCTCTGTAAAATAGTCTTTTAGGCAAACATACATTTGGCATTTGTACAACCACAATTAAAAAAGACTGAACACCTAGTATGTGATGTGGTAATAAGTATCATAAGAGCCGTAGGTACAAAGAGTGTTAGGGAGAGTTCAGAGAAGGGCAAGGTTATTTCCAGCTTTCATGGAGGAGAGGTATTCCAGTTGTATTTTGAAGGCTGAATAGGTTTTTAACAGGTGGAGATGAGAAAAAGCATTCTTGGAAATGGAAGCAGCATGTGTACAGATGCCTAGTCAGGAAGGCCCTTGGTGTGTGATTGCAGATAGTAGTAGATGGAGTTCTAGTCATGCATGTTGAGTGATGGTGGGAGATAAGGTTCAAGAGGTAGACTGAGGTCAGATTATGGAGGATCTTCCACATAATACTTCAGTGCCATCTGAGCCTTCAGTGTCATTTGGTGCAAAAGTCTGAGTATTCAGGAGTCTAAATTTCATTGCTGGGCAATGAGGGCTTAAAAAGAGGGGAGTGACATGAGCAGAGAAAGAATTTTAGTAAATTAGTCAGGCAATCTGGTGCTTCTTTGGGTTCTCATAGCATGTCATTGACATTTCTCTTAGGCAATTTTGCAATTTACTCTGTATAGCATTTTTTTTTAATGTGATATGGTCTTACTAGACCATAAGCTCTTTGAGAGCAAATGTTATTTCCTATTTACCTTTTTGAAAAAAAAATCCTTTGATTTTCACTAAGCAAGCATTTGATGTTTTGGATTGAGCCAAAAAAAAAAGATGAGTTGCATTTCTTATGAGTATTTTAACTTCAAAAAATCCAGAGAAACATCATGTACTTTAGGTTTTTCAATTGTAAATTAAAATAAACTGATATTCTCCACATCCATCATTTCAGGCATGACTTTCATGTCCTTAATAATGTTGCTTTATGACATTTTGACAAATTATAACTAAACCTCACCAAAGTGTCACAGAACCCAATTTTATCACCATTGAGCAGATTGCTCAAGAAATAAATTAAATGGTTGGTAACAATGTTCAAATGACTCTATATATCCAGCCCCCCACTTTTCTTCTTCATACTATTTCCACATACACTACCTACTGGAGGGCTCTATCTGCATTCTCTATTGGCATCTCAAATGCATCTTGTCCAAAGTGGAGCTCATCACCTTCCCTCTAAATCTTCCTTTCTTCCAATTCAATTCAATTGAATTAATGTTTATTCAGCACGTACTATGTGTAAAGCACCATGCTAGTCACTATACGAGGATAAAAACGAATAGGTCCTATCTTCTAGGAATGTTCTATAGGGGTATAAAACAAATACACAAATGAGTATTGGGTAGAAAACACTGAGATGAGAGGGAGCATCATTCCTTTGGAGGGCCTCACCATTTCCTGAGTCAGGTGTATAGACTAGAAGGCACCCTAGCATCTTCCTCACACACTTCCTCACACTCCACATACAGCCAATTGCCAAGTCTTATTCATTTAATTTTTCAATATGCTCCCCATCCACACCTTTTTCTCCACCTGTGTGACCATAACCCCATGTCAAACTCGTGTATTATTGTAACAATTAGTCTTTAATTAGTATAATTAGTCTAATTAGTTTCTCTGCTTCTAGTTTCTTCCATCACCAACTCATCTTCCATACAGCTGCCAAAATAATTGTATGTGGAGTAGCTCTGAGCAAGTCACTCCACTGCCTGAAGTGATAACAACAACAGCAACATCAGCAGCAGTATTAGCAGTAGCAGCAGCAGCATTAGCAGCAGCAAGGACAAACTGCAGTGGCTTTCCATTGCTTCTAGCATAAACTTCTCATTCTGATATTTGAAACCCTCCACAAACTGGCTTCAACCTACCTTTCCAGTCTCAGTTTATGTTCTTCCCTTCCATATGTTCTTTGTTGCTGCTCAATTGGACTACTAATTGTTCTTTGAACTTGGCATTGTATTTCCTACCTCCAAAGAAACTGTCCATCCCACTTGGAATGTATTCTTCCATTCCTTAGTCGTCTCAATCCTTATTCACTGTGAAGGCTTCCTCCTCAGTGGCAGCTGATCTAATACTCTGTCCCTTCTTAAAGTAATTTGTGTCATTGTATTTACTTCTCTGAGGACACTTTCAAGACCCTATCACCACCACACCCAATAGAATGAAAGGCCCTTGAGGGTTGGGGACTATTTCATTTCATTTTTGTCTTTATATCCCTAGTCCCCAGGACAGTGTACACGGTCACAAAAGTGTACCTAGAAGATACTTGATAAGTGTTTGTTGAATTGAATTGAACTACCATTCTCTAAAGCTATTTTACTGGAACCCAGAAGTGACATGATTCAGGGTAAAGCCCGCATTCATCGTACCTTGTGAAGAGGCTTGCTCTTCAAACAGCTGAATTCAGAGCAAACCCAACCAGAAACCCAACACTAATTTTTCCAATCTATTGGGTTCGCTTGTGTGTTATATTTATGGGGACCAACTTTTTCTGCTTTCAGAAAATGGGGCTTATCAAAAATCAATTTGGTAAAAATACTCAGGAGAAGGTGTGTTGGAAAGCATCATTCCACAGCTTATCAAAACACTTGGCCAAATAGCCTTTAGAAAGATGAAGACCCAGAAGAGGAAGTAAAATACTTAAATAACCCCATCTCAAAAGAAAAAAAAACAAAAGAAAAAGAAATTGAACAAGCCATTGATGAACTCCCTAGGAAAAAATCTCCAGGTCCAGATGGATTTACATGTGAATTCTATCAAACATTTAAAGAACAATTAATTCCAATACTATATAGACTATTTGGGAAAATAGGTGAAGAAGGAGTCTTAAATTCTTTTTATGATACAAATATGGTGCTGATACCCAAACCAGGAAGAGTCAAAACAGAGAAAGAAAATTATAGACCAATTTCTCTAATGAATATAGATGTGCAAAAATTTTAAACAAAATACTAGCAAATAGATTACAGCAACTTATCACAAGAATAATACACTATGACCAGGTAGGATTTATACCAGGAATGCAGGGTTGGTTCAATATTAGGAAAACTATCAGCATCATTGAGCATATCAACAACAAAACCAACAGAAACCACATGATCATCTCAATAGATGCAGAAAAAGCTTTTGATAAAATACAACACCCATTCCTATTAAAAACACTAGAAAGCATAGGTATAAATGGAGTCTTCCTTAAAATAATAAATAGCATCTGTCTAAAACCTTCAGCAAGCATTATATGTAATGGGGACAAGCTAGAAGCATTTCCAATAAGATCGGGGTGAAACAAGGATGTCCATTATTACCACTGTTATTCAATATTGTACTGGAAACGTTAGCTTTAGCAATAAGAGAAGAAAAAGAAATTGAAGGTATTAGAATAGGCAAGAAGAAACAAAGCTATCACTCTTTGCAGATGACATGATGATATACTTAGAGAATCCTAGAGAATCAAGTAAAAAACTACTTGAAATAATAAACAACTTTAGCAAAGTTGCAGGCTCTAAAATAAACCCACATAAATTATCGACACTTCTATATATTACCAACAAAGCCCAACAGCAAGAGATAGAAAGAGAAAGTCCATTTAAAATTACTGTAGACATTATAAAATATTTAGGAGTCTACCTCCCGAAACAAACCCAGGAACTCTATGAACACAATTACAAAACACTTTTCACACAAATAAAATCAGATCTAAATAATTGGAAAAACATCAGCTGCTCATGGGTAGGCCAAGCTAATATAATAAAAATGACAATCTTACCTACCCATCAATTGGGGAATGGCTGAACAAGTTGTGTTATATGAATGTAATGGAATACTATTGTGCTATAAGAAATGATGAACAGGCTGACTTCAGAAAAATCTGGAAAGACTTGTATGGACTGATGCTGAGTGAAGTGAGCAGAACCAAGAGAACATTATACACAATAACAGTCACGTTGTGCGATGACTAATATTGATAAACTTAACCCTTCTCAGCAATACAAGGATTTAAGACATCTCCACAGGCCTTGTGATGGAGAATGCTATCCACATCCAAAGAAAGAACTATGGAAGTTGAATCACTATCATTTTTTTTTGTCTCTTCTGTTGAGTTTTATTTCCTCTTTCGAATGGTTCCTCCTATTGGTTTTAATTTTTACTTACAACTTCACTAATGTGAAAATATGTTTAATAGGAATGTAAATGTATAGCCTATATGAGATTGTGCGCCATCTTGGGGAGGGTGGTGGGAGGAAGGGGGCAAAAAATTTTACACTCAAAAGCATATGGAAGTGATTGTTGATAAATCAAAACCAAAAAATAAAATAAAAAGAAAGATGAAGACCTCAGCACAGTGCTTGCCATCGTTTAACATTTCCCCTCTTTTCCTCTGAGAAAGTATGCTGGATTTGGAATTAGGGGACTTGTGTTTGGATCTGGACTGTAGTTTCTTCTTCTGTAAAATGAGAGGTCTGGACAAGATGGCCTTTAAGGTTCTTAATCATAAACCTATGATTTTGTGATCCTGACCACACTGGAGTGACCACCCATGCCATCAGGCTGTATGACAAGCCTGCAAAACAGGACCGAACTTTGGGGTAGATACCCTCATTACTATTTCCAAACACAGTCCCCATCAAACCAAACAAAAAAAGAAGTGAAGACAAGAGGCAGGGTACAATAAATTTCTTATGAATCCACTTTTTACTAGTCTCCGCTTGATTTCTTTTAGGTTCTTGGCATAGCTGCTAAATCTATAAGAAAGGAATCAAAGGAAAAAAAGGCTGGAAATCTGAGTATGAGCTCTTTGTCCCACGCACCTAATACATGTTGATTGATTGATTGATTGAACTAGGGGTAATAGTTGTGACGGCTACCCCAGTAGTATCTTCTCAACCAGAAGGAGTGCTAGCATATTGCAAAATGTTTGGATTATTCTTTGCAGAGATGGTGATGTTAACCTTTGAGAATGCTCTATAAGCCTTGGAAGTGATTGGCTATTAATGATATGCAAACAGAACAGCTAGAAGGAGCATAGAGAGGGAGAGTATTTTAAGCAAATGGAAAAAAGGTTGTGGTCTCTGGGCACCACTGACAATCCTTGACCTGGTTGGCTTGACTGTCCGGTCCCACTGGGTCAAGATGGCATTTCTGGCTCCATCCCACTTCCCCGGCCCAGTCAGATGAAACTGGTAAGGACTGCAGGGGCCAAAGTAAACTTCCACTGCCAGTTTGGGGTCTGTCAGAAAAAGCCACAATGCATTGGGCTTTGTTCCTATAAAGGAAGCGAGTTCATCCATATATGTGATGTAATCAGTCTGTAAAGTCTGACTCTGGCCAAACCTTGAAAGAGAAAAGAACATTGGAATAAACTTCAGGATAGTACCCAGAAATACAACTTAGCATCTACCAACTAGGTGAGGCAGCTAGGTGGAACAGTGAACAGAGCACTAGGCCTGGAATCAGGAAGATTTGAGCAAATCCAGCCTTAGATATTAGCTGTGTGACCCTGGGCAAGTCATTGGACCACGATCTGCCTCAGTTTCCTCAGCTGTAAATGGGTATCACAATAATACTGACCTCACAGGGTTGTTATGAGGATCAAATGAGATAATACTTATAAAGTACTTATTAGAGTGCCTGGCACAAGAGTAGGCACTGCACTTAATAAATGTTTATTCCCTTCCCTTCCCCTACAATCACTGTAACACAGGTTGAGAAACTAAGAAAAGCCTACACTCAGGACAGTGATTGATTAAGTGACTGAATCAAAGAGATAACATAGATAATTAAATTCCACAAATAATCTCAACACCACCAGCCTCTTCTCCAGAAAAGTTTATGCTTAATTCTTTCTTTCTACCCACTTAAGCATGGTCTACTACATAGAGTGCTGGCCTTGAATTCCTAGCACTCCTTCTGGCTGTGAATTGGATTTAAGTGAGGGAGGGCTGTATAAAGTCACCAGCCTCATCCTGGATCCAGTGGTAAGATATAGATCAGTACTACTGGACATGGTCCTGGATGCAGTGGGAGACCTTGGCCCTTTTAAGTTAAGGTCTTTCCCAGGTCTCAGTTTGACTGAGGCAACACCCATTCAGTGACTAAGGTTAGGTAAGAAATGAGGCAAAGGATGGCCTTTCGTGATTAATAAATATAATACCTAGGTGATTAATAAATACAATGAAGGAATGGCTCCTCTGCCTTCTCTCCCCCACCCTCTCCCTGGCATGTTGCTGGCAGAGTAATTGCCTACATGCACAGCTCAGACTCCAGCACTCCTCCATTCTAAAGCCATTCCTGGCTCTTTGTTGTCTCCTGAGTTAGGTCTCAAGTCCGCCTTCAGGTGTTACATGCTCTCAGCTATCTGGCTCTAAGCTTCCTTTTTGGTTCATTCCCTTTGCATTACTTCTCTGTGAACTTGAGGCTCCGGTCTAACCAGAGCACTTGTGTTCTTCGCCTCACAGCCTTGGGAAGAAAGCTATTTGAAAACCTAGGGTATTATAGCAAGGTGTGTTGTTGTTATTTTCCAGCTACATCCCATCCTTTCCTGTCTTCAGGCCTCTGCTCGTTCCATCTTAACACTTGGAATGCACTACCCATGGCCTTTGTGTGTAGAAGTTCCTCCCGTCTTCTCAAAGCAAGTTGAGGTGTCACTTCTTCTATGAAGCTTTTGCTACTTCCCTCTTTTCCCTTTTCTCATGCACTCATCTGAACCCAATAATCTTCATCTACAAAAAAGGCATAAGAATACGAGTACTTCCTCAGAAAATTAATCATAGGATCATAGATCGGGACCTAGAAAAGACCTCAGATGTCATCAAATCAAGGCTCTTATTTTGCAGATGAGGAAACTGGAACCCTGAGAGATTGTGACTTGCTTGAGGTTACTCAGCTAGTACACAGCTGAGCTGGGATTTGAACCCGTGTCCTAGGACTCTAAGTCCAGTGTTCTGTTCTCTGTTCTGACTCTCTACCTTGTGAGGGAGATGCCTTGTGAACTGCAAAGCGCATTTGTGAAATGAATGACTTGGATCAGATGATCTGTAAGATTATTCCCAACTCTACAATTCTGGGATTCTTTTACTTCCTCCAAGATAAAGTCCTGGAATTAAAAATCCTTCAAAATCTCCCTTTGATGGACTCAGGATTCCTTTGGTGGACGGATTAGTCAGTAGCATGGCCTGTGCCAAAGGGAAGCACCAGAAAGATCAAAGAGGAGGATAAAGTCAGCAGCATCTGATTCCAGTTTGGATGCGCTCTGGTTTCTAGAATCTGGCCTCTTGCATTTGCGGCACTGTGGAGGCAGGAAGCTATGAGTTCATATCTTGCCTCAGATGCTCACTAGCTATGTGACCCTTACCAAGTCATTTAACTGCTATCAGCCTCAGTTTCTTCATCTGTAAAATACAGATAATGATAGTAACTACATTATGGGTGATTGTAAGGCTCAAATGAGATGAAATGCAAAGTGCTTTGCAATCCTTAAAGCACTATATAAATGCTAACAATTAAAATCATTACCCTGAATAATCTGGAGCTTGCTTTTTCCTTTTATAAAGACATTCTTCAGAGGAAGAGTTCGTTTTTTAAGGTCATTTGTTATTGTGTTTGCTTTTTAAGTTAACCAGGGACTTGACCATATAAGGTACCAGCTCCCAAATAATTTTATTTTCACTTTCCTAGTAGCTCAGCTTGGCTTTAGTTGTTAACAAATTCATGAAGTGTATCTTGATAATCAGGAGGTGATAATGCACTAGTAATATAAGTGAACGACTGATCCAAGTTTGTCCCAACCTTTGGTGAGTGGGTGGTATGGAAGAGTATTAGCTTTGGAATCAGGAAATCTGGATTCAAATGCTAACTCCTCAATTTGCCAGCCATGTGACTATAGGCAAGGCCTTCCCTTCATCTCTGAGTCAGGCCCTGTCTTCTTTGGGGCACTAATTTCCTGTCTCACTAAAGGTCTGAAAGAGTCAAGGTACTTCCTAAGGTACTTAAGACCTACCTCCAACCTGGCTTACTCATCCAGGTTTGATCTATTACTTTATTATTCTTTCAAACCTTTCTAAAATATCATTTTGGAAGGTCACTCCCTTTATAGGAGTATCAATATTAAAAAAAATCATTTGAATGTGCAGTATCAAATCATAAAACTGGTTCCTAGTGATTCCTATACAAACCTGAGTCATTGCTATCAGAATGCAGATTTGTAGGATTATACGGAACAAGGTAGCATGGTGGAAAACATTCTGGATTTGGACTCAGATGACCTAGTTTGAAGCCTGGCTCTGCTATTTACTAGCCAACTAATAGCAGAGAAGTCACTCAACATGTCTGGCTCTATTTCTCATCTGTGAAATAAAGGGGTTAGACTAGAAGACCTTGAAGGGCCCTTCCAATTCTACATCTCTGATGCTATGATTTTGGACATAAAATCTTCCTGTAGGACATACCCTATGGAAATGGGACAGCTATCAGGCCTCATAATGCCTAGGTGCATATTGCTGTGTTCTCATATGTAGACAAAGAATAACTTTAGGAATTATTTCCTTAACATATGCATCCACCTACCGCTTGAGCTTTTTTCCCATTTTCTCATCAATGTCATCCATCATGGCACTGAAAGGAGGCAGAGTGCAAGAACCTAGATGGAAATAGAGAAAGAAATGCTCATAAGTGGTATCCCCCAAAATGAGAACTAGATAAGAGCCTCTGGTTAAACTTGTGGTCTTCCTTTTCAGCACTTAGACTATGGCCTATTAAATCTATGGATAAGGCCTGCCCTGCCCTGTCCTACCCTGGTGATGAAAGCAAATGGTAGCCAACAGCAATCTGTTTGCTTTTGAAACAATGCATGAAAATCATTATCATATTTGTCTGTGTAAATTCACTACTGCTCTCCGTAACCACAGGATGTATCATAGTCAAACTTCTTGCCACAATACTCTGTGTTTCAGAAGCTATAGGTAGTCATATACTACATATATGTTTCATGTCCTCCCTTCCATCAGTAATCTGTGTCCCCAAACACTTAGGACTGCTCTGGCTCTACTTTGAGAAAATCTAGAATTTCAAATTGTGAACTTACAGAACAGATGAATTAAAGGTAATTAAATACATGGCAAAAGATTGTTCATGCTCCCAAACTATTCATTGCAGAATTTTTTCAAATAGTGACTTCTGTATCTATCTATCTATCTATCTATCTATCTATCTATCTATCTATCTATCTATCTATCTATCTATATCTATATCTCATATGTTATTTTAAAAATTTGGTTTGTAATTATGATTTCTTCCTTATAAGGATCCCCCTCTGTAGAAATTTCTTTTGCTAATGCAGCTCAGCAACTTGCTGTAACTTATCTCTAATATTAGATAATTGACTGAAGCATCAAGAGGTGTGACATGGTCACACAGCATATACAAAAATATGTATATGGATATGTTTATACATTATATATATTTATATGCACATATTTATCTATGCTACTATATCTATTTATATATACATGCAAACATATGTGTATAGACATACATATCAAGATATTAAGATATTTATATGTTTATATTAACAAACTCTGAAAAAAAGAATAACCCATGATATACTTTTAAATTAAATCTTCATTATTAACATTTTCTTCATCAATATCTTAAGTCTAGAAGTCATATCTATAACTGATTCTCTCTCTCTCTCTCTCTCTCTCTCTCTCTCTCTCTCTCTCTCTCTCTCCCTTTCTCCCTTTCTCCCTCTCTCCCTCTATCTATCTAATCTATCTCAGAGCAGGATCTGAACCTCATCATTTCTCAGCCATTTCCAAATTTCCATACCATGCTCTGGCCATCTTCTTTCTTCTCATTCCTTTTCCATTGGAACTTGGACTCTGCCCCTGAGATCCTGGACTCTGATAGATGAGCCTTTGCCTTAAATTGCCTAGAACTAGACCTATACTTTACTTCCTGGCCATTCCCGAACTCTACTGTAGAAAATGTGTACTCCATACTAATTTTTAGTTTCCACTTATGTGCTGTCTTTCCCCTTTCAAATATAAATTCCTTGATGATAGGATTGATTTGCTTGCTTGTATTTGTATCACCAGATCTTATCAAAGTACCTGGAACATAGTAAACAGTAAACACTTTATCATTCATTCATCCTTTATTCCTCATTGTAGGGCCAACCCTCTGTTCAAATGTATCTCTTTACTCATCTAAATTCTCATGGACTTTACAAAGTTAGGAAAATAAGGGCTAAATAAAGAAATGAACGGAAGATAAGTCAATCTGCACTGTCAATTTCCTCATCTCTAAAATAAAAGAGATGACCTCTATAGATGATATCTGAGGGCAAGGGCATGGTGGAGCAGGTTTGTACAGGCTCTTGAGAGCCAATTCAAAATTTTCGGTATGAGCAGTTACACCTCAGAAATTGGCAAACATTACAAATCAGGGTTCAGTTATTGTTTTGTTGATTGTCTATACTTAATAAAGTGACAAAGAAAATCTTAATAATGAAGATTTAACTTAAAAGTGTGCCATGGGTTTATTTCTTTGGGCGGGAAGCTTGTTAAACATTTACTTATACACCCCAGGCTTAAGATCTTTCTTTTCAGCTCAAACATTTTATGATTCTATCACAGAAAGTGAGATATACTGAGATTATCCAAGTCCTTTGAGTTCTTGAATAAAATGATACTTTAGACTTGATTATTAATATTATTAATCATAAAACATTATAGAATATAGACTTATTTTAACATTATTAATTATAAGATTATAGGATATTATTAATTATTGAATTATAGAATGTTATTAATATTCTCAGAGCAACAGAAGTCAATTTATTTAAGACATTGCCTTCCCTCATCCAGCTCTTATTTTCTTTGTTTACCCTCATAGGGACAGTATGTGGCTTCTGAAGGAGGAAATAGGTTACTGACAGAGGTAGGGGTGAGGTTGAAAACGAGATAGTGTGTAAGGGCAAACTTTTTCTGACACATCTTGACTTTTCTTTCAGAATTCATATACATACATATGTATATATGCACACATGTATACACATGTATATACACATGTATGTATCTATGTAGGTATATGTGTGTATATGTATGTATGTATGTATGTATGTATGTATGTATGTATGTATGTATGTATGTATGTATGTATTATGTATGTATGTGTGCTCCTTTGGTCTGCCTCCAATGGTGATATGGAAGTTATGGCCCTGTCTACCTGTAAGGACTTTAGTAGCCCAACGGGCTTGTAGGTCAGTTGTGGGGATGGCAGCACCGAGGGACTGGACGAGGCCAATCACAGCCAGGGTTGGCTTCTCAAGAGGAGGAGGGAAGATGCCTTTATAGAGTGTCACTTCATTGTCTCTGTTTTTGATGACTGAGTCATCAAGGAAAGGGTAGGCATAACCATAGCCAGTTGCAAAGATGACAGAGTCAATGGGCCCAAACTCCGTCCCATCCTGAAACACCGCAGATGTCTCTCTAAATTCCTTTATGTTGGGCTTGATGGATACTGCCCCACAGATGATGCGGGCTGGCAGCTCATCATTGAATACAGGCTCTTTTCTCAAAGTTCTGCATAGAAAAGATAAACAAATGTCACAGGAATGATAATCCTCCTTTACTCAGGGACCTTATAAAATTCTATAGACTATGGAGCTAAATTTTAGAAGGCAAAAATGGACATTTAGGGTTATAATAATAATGATGATGATGATGACAAACCTTGATAAGGCACTTAGTATGTGCCAAGCGGTGCACTAAGCACTTCCGTTTTTATTTCATTTGGTCCCCACAAAATTATGTTCTTTTGTGATGATTCTGCTTTTATTATCCACAATACCCATAATTCTACTCTCTGTGCTGCTTATGTAGAGTATTTGCCTAGCTATTTACCAAATGGATGAGAATAAAGAGGGATTGCAGCTATGAAAGTGCCTTGAACCCTAAATTGTAGTTTTGTTTTCCTCCTTCTGCCTCGGAGCCCCAAGTCAATTATAAGGTAGCTTCAGCATCATCATCATTGATCGCCCTTACCTTTGCCCTCATCCTCACTGACGTGAAGAGAGTGAGTAAGCATATGGCGACTTTTGACTTACTTTCTCCAGGTTTTAAAACAGTATTTTATTTTTTCCCCACTTACACGTAAAAAGAATTTTTGACATTCATTTTTAAAAAAATTTTGAGTTCTAAATTCTTTTACTCCCTTCTTCCCTCCTCCCTGTCTTGAGACAGTAAGCAATCTGATACAGGTTATACATGTACAATCAGCTATCATGATTTTTGATGTTGCAATTTCACATGCTGAAATCTGCATGACGAGCAACAATGATAAGAATAATACCTAGCATTTGTATGGTGATTTAAAGTTTGCAAAACACTTTAAATATGATCTCATTTTATCCTTAGAACAACACCGTCTGGGGCAGACTGTGGCTAAGTAACTTGCCTATGGACAATAACAATAAAACAGTGATATTTACATAGCGTTTAGTATGTGTCAGATACTGTGTTAAGTACTTTACAATTATTGCCTCATTTGATCTTCACAACAACCCTGAGAGGTAGGAGTTATTATTATCTCTATTTTACAAGTGAGGAAACTGAGGCAGACAGCGATTAAGTGACTTGCCCAAGGTCACAAAGCTAGTAAGTGTCTGAGGCTAGATTTGAACTTCCTGATCCCAAGTCCACTACACCCTTAGCCCCTTCAACACTCCAATTTAGCTTGCTTTCTCAGGAGAGTTAAATGTTTTCCTCCTTCTGCTTCAGAGCCCCAAGTCAAGTAAAACTTTACAAACCATGGGATTTCTCTGTGTACGTCAACAGCTAGGTGGCACAATGGATAGAGTCCTGTATTAGAACTCAGGAAGATCTGAGATCAAATCCAACCTCAGATACTTCCTAGCCATGTGGCCCTGGATAAATCACTTAAACTTGGCTTGCCTCAGTTTCCTTGACTGTAAAATGGGGATAATAGCAGCACATGCCTTCCATTGTGGTTATGAGAATCGAATGAGATAATATTTGTAAATCATTTAGCACAGTGTCTGGCACATAGTACTTGCTTAATAAATGTTGTTCTCTTTTCCTTCCCTCCTTACTTTCACAATTTAGAAATATAAATTTCTTTTACTCTGAAAACCCATTTCTCATACTTTAGAAGGTAATAAGCAAAGCTTGTGATATCTTTCACCTTTTTCATGGTGGAGGCAAGGAAGTGCGAGAAGATATTGAAAAGTAATTTGTGAAAATTGTGATGATATGGTATAGTGGATGGTGAGCTGGCTGTTGTGGAGCCAGGTCTGTGTTCAATCCTGCTCTGGCACATTCTGACCGTGTGACCCTTCAGACTAAGTCACCTGAACCTTCAATACTCTAAGTGACTTTACTGCTCTAACTTGCAGAGAATGCACTGATCTGTTTTGGTACGGGGAGGTCTTTGTACCAATGAAATCACTGGCTGAGTTCCTACTTCAATGAGAAGGGAAAAATGTAGGACTTTTTAGCGCTGAATTTCAAAAGCAGAATTTATTGCCCACAAATCTGTGCAAAGAGGTAGTTTTTTTTGTTTTGTTTTGTTTTAATTGTGCTTGGGTACAAAAACTGTACCAGGTCTCCAGAGCTTAACCATCTGGGCAAATCCCAGATTATTTAAGCTCTATTTGGAGAAAAATATAATAAAATGAAGTGAAATGGTATATGATCTGTGATTTTATTAGCTTGAGGAACTCCCTTGGCAGAATGCCCTCCCTGAGTTTGATTGCTAACTATATGACTTAAGAAGATAAGTTAATTAGCATTTTAAAAACATTTTCTATATTCCAGGTGTTGTGTTGATATGTCCTGGGGAACTGCCTAAATCAGAGAGAGGCTAAATAACTTTCCTAAGATCACACAGTTAGGAAATGTCAGAAGCAATAGTTTTGAATCTAGATCAACAAAAGTCAAAAGGCATTTATATGTGCCAGGAACTATGCTAAATGCTGGGACTGCAAAGAAAAGCAAAAAACAAGCTCCATACTCTTAAGGAGCTCACATTCTAATAAGGGAGATAAAAGGCAAGCAACTACAAGCAAATAACATCCATCCACCCATCCATCCACCTATCCATCCATCCATCTATCTATCTATCTATCTCCATCTAACTATATATCTATCTGACAAATTGGAGATAATGTTGAGGGAAGATACCAAGATTAAGGAGAACTGAGGAAAGGTTTCTTGCAGAAAGTGGAGCATTAGCTGAGAGTTGAAGAAAGCCAGGGAAGGCAGAGGGCAGAGATGAGGAAAGAAAGAATTACAGGAAGAAGGGACAGGGCCCCTCCCTTTCCAAGCCTAACACTCTATGCCACTACTGTCTCATGAAATAAAAAACAAAATGATAAAGTAATAAGAAATAAAATAGGTATTGGCTCAAAGACAGAATAACCTGTTTAAAGTTGGAAAAAGGCACTGTGTAAGAGTGTCATACTTTCTTATTTTAAAGAAGGAATGCAATGATTTTTTTTCTCTGAAAAATTAAAAGCTTTCTTCCTCAATAGATATGTGGTCAAAGAATGTGAATAATTTTCAAAATAACTACAAACTGTAAATGACCACTTAAAAGCATGTTCCAAGTCACTAATAATAAGAGAATGCAAATGAAAACATTCTTGAATTTTTATCTTATATTTTGAAAATTGGCAAAATTGATTTCCCCCTCCCCTCCTCAAAAATAGGAAGAGTCACGTTTGCAGGAAAACTAAAACTTCCTTAGTGAACTATGAATTGGTCTCAAGAAAGTCAAAGACAGAAACAAAGGTCCAATACACACCAAAAAATGGATAATACCATTCTTTGTGGTAGTAAAGAACTGGAAACAAATTTAGTACCCACAAATTGGGGAATGGTTGGTATAGGATACATATGACCCTGGGTATGTACCATATTACCCATCTAATCCTCAAATGGATCTCACTAGCTCGAATCAGGTATATGAGTAAATAGAGAGTTGTAGTCATAAGCTATCACCTCACTTTTTAAACTATATTACATACCCATTGGATGGCATCAGGCCATAGTTCTTATGTTTAAATCGTGAGTTCATCATCTTAACATAAAACCAGTCTGAGACAAAGTTAGGGAGGAGATTCCAGAGAAAGGTTTTGAAACGAGTTATATACACCATATCCCAAGGGTAGCCATCATCCCAAACCCGACTCATTACCCAAGAACCGCTTCTTGTGCTAATAAAGACCTAGAAAGAGAAAAAAGCAAAAAGAAAGGCAATGTAAGTTTCAACAATTAATCTATGAAGAATAGAAAGGGAACCTTACAGCTTTGCATGTAGAGGCAGGTTTTAAACCCAGTTCTTCCTATCTCTCTATCTACTACACCATGATTGCCTCTCATTCTCATTTTAGGTATGAAGAAACAATCATGGAGAGTTTGTGTGACCTATCCAAGGTTCTAACCAATATGGCAGAGCTGGAGCAGTTAACGGCAATATTTTTTTTTCACATTTAGATAGTGCTTTAATGTTTGCAAAGTGTTTTGTATACATAATCTCTTTCAAATCTCCACAACAACCACATGAGGTGTGGGATGAAGTAGTTATTTTATCCATTTTACAGGTGAGAAAACTGAGTCCAAGTGGGTATGTGATTTAGATATACATGGTGACATAATAAAGAAATTAGAGAAACATGGAAGAGATTCCCTGTTGGATCTATAAATTAGGGAGGAATTCATGAGCAAACAAATGATCTAAAGGTTCGCAGGAGGCAAAATGCACAATTTTGATTACACAAAATCATTTTTTCATAAACAAAATCAACTTAGCTACAAATTAGGTGATTTTCTAGCTTTTGTGGTTGTTGTTGAGTCCTTTCAGTCATGTCTGACTCTCTGTGACCCCATCTGGGGTTTTCTTGGCAAAGACACTGGAATGGTTGGCCATTTGCTCTTCCAGCTCATTTGACAGATGAGGAAACTGAGGCAAGCAGTGTTAAGTGATTTGCCTAGGGTCACACAGCTAATAAGTGTCTCAGGCTGGATTTAAACTCAGTTCCTCCTGATTTTGGGATCAGTGCTCCATCTTACTAATATCCTTAAGATGAAGGGCCCAGAGAAACCTAACTTGAGAAATCACATATCCCCCAAAGTTAAGCCCTTTTTTTTCACATACATATGCTGATCTTGTTTTGAAGCTTCTCTTCTCTCACCCATTCCTCTATCTCATTGGAAATTCCCTGAGGACAGGAATCATGATTTGTATGTCTTTATATATTTTTTTTTACAGGATCTAGTTGTAAGCACTGTTCATTACATATGTATTAACGACTAAGGGACCTTAAATCCCTGCAAAGCAGTGTGGTATAGTAGAGTATTGGGCATGAAGCCAGGAGAAAACTAGGTTCAAGTCTTTCCTCTGACACTTACTCCCCTGTAAAATGGGGGTAATAATGCCCTTGAAATTTGCTTCTCTCAGAATTTTTATAAGGATCAAATGAAGAAGAGCATGCACAATGCTTTGAGAATCTGAAAGTAGTGTACAAATGATGAATACCTAAGACTTAGCATGGTGCCTAGCATGTAGCGGTAGGTGCTTACTAAATATAAGTTAATAATACAGTTCTTATCACTTAAGTGTTCCTTTCACCTAAAAAAATGATGGTCAGTTTGATCTATTTATACATGAACTCATTCAGGCATTCTCTGCATTTTAAAGGAGACACAAAGAAAAATAGGCTATAGTCTACTATCAGGTAGTTTACAAACTAATTGAGGTGTCATGTTATACAGAAATAATACAACATAGAATATTTAGAACAAGTGGTAATGATAATTTGTAAAGGATTGAGATCTGGGGGAAATTGAGGTTGGAATAGAGAAAGTGAACAGCTAGGTGGTGCAGTGGATAAAGCACTGGGCTTGGAGTCAGGAAGACTTATCTTTGTGAGTTTAAATCCAGTCTCAGATACTTTTCAGCTATATGACCTTGGGCAAGTCACTTAACCCTATTTTCCTCAGTTCTTCATCTGTAAAATGAGCTGGAAAAGAAAACGGCAAACCACTCTAGTATCTCTGCCAACCAAATCCCAAATAGGGTCACAGAAAGTTGGACATGACTGTAAAACAACTTAATGATGAGAGAAGGGAAGACTCTGTGAAAAAAAGGTGTCCTTTGACCTAGACCTTCAATTTCAACAGCATGTGAGGCTTTCAGATATGTGAATCCTCATGAAAATACCTACAGAATCTACTTACTTAGTGGTGTGTATCACCTGACTTAACTTTCCTGTGGAAAACTGAGTAGGTTGTAAAAGGTCAGAAAAGTGAATGGAGTTCTTTCTGGGTGATAAGTATGCCCCATCACTCATCTCTAGCAATGTGTCAGTTAGATTAGAAAGGGTCTAAGTTCTTTTCTGAAAGTTCTTTGTTTCCATACCTGTGAAGCCACGTGACTTAACTCAACAGCAATATCTGATCCAGAATTCCCTAGGCCAATTACAAGCACTCTCTTCCCCTTGAAGGCTTCTGGACCCTTGTAGTCCCGGCTGTGAATATAGCTGCCTTGAAACTTTTCTAGTCCTGTGAGAGGCATGGGAAACAAATTTAATTCCTAGACATTTCCAAACCAGGTTCCTGGCTGTCTCCTCAACTTCCTGCTCTTGGATCCAGGCCTCACTTCCTGTTTCCAAATTTTGCATATGTCCTTCCCTTCCTCCCTTCCCTGCCCATCTTTGATGGGTTGTCTTTCTTGTAAGATTTTTGAGGGCAGGAATTGGCTTCCTTTGCTTGTATTTGTATCTCCAATGCTTAGCACAACACCTGGCTCATAGAAAGTACTTAATAAATGATTTTTTTATTCATTCATTTACTGAAGGCATTATGGAGAAATCAAACTATTTTTGGTTGTATATTTGCCTTTAAATTCTAGTTGCCCTAATAATTAAAACACACACACACACACACACACACACACACACACACACACACACCCCAAGATGCCTTTTCAGCTTGTGGTTTTTGACAGAGAAGTCAAAGGGATGTTTGTCAAATGGTCACTAGAAATTACATATTATTCCATTCAGGTGCTTTCATGATTTTAATATTCTAGATAGAATCTGAAAATAATCTTTTTATCTTTTTTTTTTGTCACGTGAGTCATTTAACCAGGCATAGGGGAAAGAGCCCTGGATCTGAGTCAGAAGTCGTGGGTTTGAACCCCTACTTACTACCTGTATTACCTTAAACAGTCAGCCAATTAACCAATCAACAAACATTTCTTAATGTATATTACTACTGGGTTCCAAGCACTGTGTTAGGAGATACAAAGACAAAACTGAAACAGTCCCTGCCTTAAGGAGCTTACAGTCTATCAGAGGGGATAGTAGGTACATTTGTGAATGTTGCAGGATAATCAGACAGACTGAGAATCCTCTGTAGATAGGGATTCTGAAGCTTAAATGAATCTTGGTACTTGTAGTTTACGGGGACAGAATTCCCTCCTAGCCCTGAGAGAAATTGACTGTGATTTGCATTTGAGGAGAGGAGATCTACCCACCTAGAAGTTTTGTGCTAGTCTGGACAAAGCTGAGGGGGCAGCAGGTACAGCAGCAGCAGAGATGACCATCGGGTCTCCCTACAGAAATCTTGCAAGATGTGTCTGGGCACTTAGAACTGAGGATGGTAGGTTAAGCTCAGAGCCAAACCTCAGCTTTATGGAATAAAGAACCCCAACTGAGCCTCTCTGGTGACTGTCCCTTTATGAACTAAGGCAACTATCCAAAGAGTTTTCACTCTTTAATTCTTCCCCCTCCTCATGTCTGCTGCTCATATGATTTTCTCACCATTCCTTTAAGTTGTTTCTTTATCCAGAAATTTTGCTTCACATAAAACTATGGTCAATCACGACTGGCAAATCCCTGTCCTGAATCACCATTTCTTCAGGAGCCCCAGCCATGCCCCTCACTTCACTCCTGGCCCAACCCACTCTTCAGAATACCTTCTCCTTCCCCTCTGCTTTCCAACTCTCCTCTGTGTTTCGTTATGTCTTGTTAGAATATAAGCTCCTTTGAGAGTAAAGACCATCTTTTTTTGTGTATTTGTATCTCCAGCATTTAGCACAGTGCTTGGCACATTATCTATCTATCTATCTATCTATCTATCTATCTATCTATCTATCTAACTACCCATCCATCTATCTTGTATCTATCCAACCATCCATCATCTACCATCTCTCTATACATCTATGTAGCACTATACATCTCTCTATCAATATAATGATCTATCTATCTATCTATCTATCTATCTATCTATCTATCATTCCATCATGAGTAATTTGGAAATGGAGAAGCTAGTAGCTAAATGGAAATACACAGAATTTAAATAGGTCAGATAATCTACTAAGGATTTTCAGTAGGAGGAAAGAGGTGTGGCTTAGGAGAATTCAGCCCCACCTTTTTCCTATAGGGAGGGCAATGTCGAAAAGGAACAACTACACAGACAACTTTGCTCCACAGCAACACATGCTGGTTGTAGAAGTATATACAGGATACATACAAAATAATTACATGATAATTTTTGGAGAAAGGACAGGAGCAGTTTTGGAGGAGGTAGGAATCAAGAAAAGCTTCATGTAAAAGATAGCTCTTGAACTGAATTTTGAAGGAAACAAATTCCAAGAGCAAATCACTTAACTGCTCTGGGCCTCAGATTCTTCTTCAGTAAAGTGAAAAGGTTGGATGAGATGAATTTTAAGTTTCATTCTAGCTCTAAAATCTGATTCCATGATGATATTAATATTAATAAAGAGTAACTAAAAATAATAATTAGTATTTATATAACGCTTCAAGTTTTACAAAGCATTTTATAAATATTATCTCATTTGATCCTCACAAAAACTCTGGGAGGTGGATGTTAATATTATCTCCATTTTACAGATGAGGAAACTGAGGCAGACAGAGGTAAAGTGAATTGTCATGGTCACACAGCTAGTACATTTCTGAGACCAAGTTTGAATTCAGTTAATCTTGACTCCAGGTCCAGAATTCTGACCACTCTACCACCTACCTGCCTCTACTATCACTGGTCATACCTGGGCATTGCAGATAGAAACATGGATGAGGGTATTAGTCACAAGGATCAGTTTGCTTCATTTCTAGGGATTAATTGTCACACGACTGATGTAATTGTAATGACACAGAATGACCATAAAGACTGATGATAACAGACTGTTTTGATTAAGTTGGCCAGTCCAAGTTTCATTTTGTGTATCATATGGATTCCTAGTCCATATCTAAGAGACTAGAAGCCCTCTATGACTTTATGGGCTGACTTTCTTCACTAAATTACGTACTATAAAAATTTATAGTTAATCAGTAAGCATTTATTGAGCACCTACTCTGTGCCAGGCCCTGTGCTGGTGCTAGGGATCCAAAGACAAAAATGAAACAGTATCTGCCTTCAGGTAGCTTATATTTTGTCAGGTGAGACAATGTGCAAATATATATGTATATACAAAATGAAAGGTCATTTTTTTTTCACTCAATCACCTTCAATGTGGGTAGACACTAGCAGTTGGGAGGATAAAAAATAGATAAGATGATCTATGAGGAGATACAAGGCCTATGGTCATACTCAAGACCCTGGTCAAACCAAGGTTGGACACAAAACATGTACCCTTGCCAAATTTCACTGTGTGCTCTGGATTCCCTTACCTCTCCTATACCCATTTTTATATAGACTGACCCTACATAATATCTGTCCACTTCTCTTTTTCAGCAACAGTAATGTATGGTAGGCAATTGTACCACAATATTGTGAAAACCTGCCATAATATGGTTTATTTGGGGTTTGCCTCTCCCTTTAGCTAATGGACTTATAAGAGAAACTGACTAGGTTGTTTTTCTACTTAACTTTGCAAATAGAGACAAGAAATGTCAGAGAGGAGACTGAAAACTTACTACGCCTTCCTTGGGAATGCTCCAAAGTTATTGTGGCCTTCTTCACCTTGTAATATAGCTCTGGGAACGCCTGTTATACTCACTTGTGCTCTTGAGTTAATGTGTGGTTCTCTGGTGATATTTCTGACCCATTGTAGACATTTCTTTTGAATTATTTTTCCTGTAGAACTTTGGCTGACCCATAGACATATATTTTCTTATATGTGTTCCCAGTGACTCCAATACCTACTTTTGTACTATGGCTGGATAAGGTTAGGGGCACAATCTAGAGTCAAGCTAACTGTTTATGATGGACTTTAGACTTGACCTTAGCCTCATTGTTCTCTAACTCCTGAATAAACAGACCCAGAGGAATAAGGCAAGAACGCAGTAGGGAATAGACATTTTTGTTCTCCCACTTCTTCCCTCTTCCTCATCTCATATCACTGAGTATTTTCCTATATTATCTCTTCCTTTGTCCCTTTCTTACATGGCAAGATGGTTCTTCTTGCCAAGTCAAACCCCTCTAAATACTGAAGTGATCCTATTCCATCCCTTCTTCTCCAGCAGATCAAGACCTCTCTCATCCCTACTTTCACTAATATTCAATCTGTTCTTGTCTACCAGTTGCTTGCCTACTGCCTATAAACATGCCCATGTCTTCCCTATCCTCAAAAAACCCTCAATAGATATATCCATCCCCACTAGTTATAATCCTATACCTTTCTTCCCTTTTGTGGCTAAACTACTTGAGAAGGCTGTCGACTATAGCTGTCTCCACTTTTTTTCCCTATCACTCTTGTCTTAACTCTCCAAAGTCTGTCTTGTAACTTCATCCTTTAACTGAGACTTCCATTTCCAAAGTTATCAGTGCTCTCTGTTGCCAAATCTGATGGCCTTTTCACAATCCTCACACATCTCTTGACCTCCGCAGCCTTTGACACTGTCAATCAACTTCTCCTTGACACTCCCTTTTCTTCAGGTTTTCATGACACTTTTCTCTCTGGGATTCTCACCAGACTTTCTGATCCTCTCTTTGTTGATTTGACTTTTCAAATCCTCCTCTGCATAAATATAGAACCATTAGTAATGGGGGATTTGGAGGAGTTGCCTTAGGGAATCAACAAAGGGTAAGTAGGCTTCTTCCTTCTTGGCCCAGTGAATTTGAAATGCAGGCTGCAACACCCCCTCCCCAAAATTGTGGTGGTGCCTGTACCCCAGGGCCCTCCATTCCCTCCCATCTACACAGAGGGGAAGAACGGTGCGTCTACCGTGGCACCTAACTGAACTGTTTTCATTCCAGGTGAGGAAAAATGTCTATTTCCATATCTGGGTAATTATAAAGGTTTTTGTTGTAATGATTACACATTAAAAGGCAGTATGGAACCCTGTAATAGTTAGAGAGCTGGCTTTGGAGTCAGGGAAGCCTGAGTTCAAATACTACCTTGACACACACTGGCTTTGTGACCCTGGGTAAGTCACTTAACCTTTTAGTGACCCAGGTAACTTTCCCAGACTGTAAGTTGCAGATACTTATTGATACATACTGCTAGAGGTAATTCCTTTACCTACAGTTCTCAATATCAGTGAAATAATCTGGTAAAAAAACCTTTTATTTTAATTATGCTTACTTCTATGATCCTCTATATCCCATGCTTAGTCGTGAACTTTTCTTCTATCCATAGTTCTGATAGGCAATTTTTTCCATGTTTCTCTAATTTGTTTATGATGTATCCTTTTATATCTAGGTCACATATGTATTTGGATCTTATCTTTGTATAAGGTGTGGGGTGTTGGTCTAAATCTATTTCCTTCCTTAGTGCTATCCAATATTCCCAGAAGTTTTTTATCAAATAGTGAGAACTTATTCCAGTACCTAGGTCTTCATGTTACCTGTGGATTACGGTGCCTGGGGTCTTTGTGTTAGTTGGAGACTATGGTATTAGAAGCATTTGCTTCTGTATGTTGTATACCTAATTTGTTTCAGTGATTGAGCTCTTTATTTTTATTTTTTTAACCAGTACTCTATTTTTTATCATTACTGCTTTGAAGTATAGTTTGAGGTCTGGCACTGCTAGACCCCTTTTATTCCCATTTCTTTTCACTGTTTCTCTTTTGGTTCTTGACTTTTTTCCTTTCATGTGAATTTTATTATTTTCTCTAGTTCTGTCAAGTAATCTTTTTGTTGGTTGGAATAAGTAAATTAATATAAGGAGTTTTGTCATTTTTATTACATGAGTTCATCTTACCTATAAGTAATTAATATTTTTCTGATTACTTAGGTCTGTCTTTATTTCTATTAACAGTTGTTGTAGTTGTATTTAATATAGGTCTCATGTGTTTCTTGTAAGATAGATTCCCAAGTGGTAGAATTCCATAGTCATTTTAAATGGGATATCTCTTTCTACCTCTTCCTATGATAATGATTTTTCTGGATTTATTCTATGTCCCGTAAGTTTTACTAAAGTTATTAATTGTTTCAATTAATTTTTAAATTGCCTCTTTTGGGTTCTTTAAGTATCTCATCATAACATTTGCAAAAAGTGATAATTTTGTGTCTTCTTTACCTATGTTTATTCCCTCAACTTCTTTTTCTTGTCTTATTTCTATAGCCAGCATTTCTAGAACTATGTCAAACGGAAGTGGTGATAATGAGCACCCTTATTTCACTACTTAATTTATTAGAAAAAATTCTGACTTATCTCTATTATAAATAATGGAAGCATATATATATGCATATATATATGCACAAAAATATGGATTGTACTTATATGTGTGTATGTATGTATATGTGCATATATGTGTATATATATGTATGCATATATATATATGTATGTGTGTGTATATCTCTCATTATACATATATATCAGTATATCACCTACAAGGCACAGTAGATAGAGAACTGGGTCTGAATTCAAATCTGTCCTTAGAAACTTATTATCTGTGTGACTCTGGGCAAGTTATTTAACCCTGTTTGCCTCAGTGTCATCATCAGTAAAATGAGATTGAAAAAGAAATGGCAAACCACTCCAGTATCTTTTCCAAGAAAATCCCAAGTGGGGTCATGAAGAGTCAGATACACCTGAAATGACTGAGCATCAACTGACCCCAACATAGTGATGTCGTTTTGGTTCTGTTTGAGAATGAAGGACAACAACCAAAGTGATACACATACATATGCCCGTACATACATAATACATATCTACATATAAATACATGCATACACACACACACACACACACACATATATATATATATATATACACACACACACACTATAACTTTAAGGAAAGGTCCATTCATTCCTATGTTTTCTAGTATTTTTAACAGAAATGTAAATGTTTGAATTGTAAATACAGAAAATATTAATAAAACTTAATTTTTAAAAGAGTATGCTAGCTTTGTCCATCTTGTACATATTTGTTACCCGTGCAGAAATTGCTGGGTGTTATGGAAGTTACATGGAAAACTATGTATCTTCCATACTTACCAGGAAAGCAATCAACTGGCATATTGGGATATACGTGGTGTCCTGAACAAATCAGCACAGCATTAAATACAGATGATTCTTGATTTCTATCTTTTTCAGTAACAATATCCCACTGGCCAGTGACTGAGAAATTGGCATGTTTCTTTACGCTAGTGACCACTGTCTTAAAGGAACCCAGAGAAAAAAGAATCCCATATAAATACATACACATGGATGTATGGGTGCACATACATATATATACACAGAAATATGTAATTCTATGATCTTTGGAGTGTTTCTGCAGGTAAATGAAATAATTTTTGTGCTTTGTCCTGAACATTGGGAGATGGATTACATGATTAAATAATCATTAAACAATCTACATATTTAAAATAGAAATTACTGTGGCTAAAATGCCTTAAAATCCTCTGAAAATAAATCCCTTACTGAAAGATAGCCTTAGTTCTTCCTGTCTGACCCTAACCTCTTACCCTTCCTCCCCCTTTCCTTTACCTTGATCATGACTTCTAATCTTTTTCCCTCTCAATATTTTATCAAACCATCACACCTGCTCTGACTTCACTTTTCTCCCTTCCTAATCTCAATCCTATAGTTAACCCATTGCCCTCCATACCATCCTCACTCTTAAATCTTTCAGCTCTTTATCCTATAGCTGCTCATCCCCTACCAAACTCTAATTATTTATTACTCCCATTATCTACCTCCTTTACTCCTTCTCATATGCTGTTGGATGAACCTGGAGGAACTCATATACTGCCATGCTCTCTGGGTACACTGTAAATTTGTTATCCTACTCCAACAGGGTCCTCAGGACATCAAGGTGAGCCTTTTATTCCTCCCCAATTGACTCCCTATCTCATTCCACACCAAAGCTATTCCAAAACTTTGCTTCTCTCCTCAAGCCTCCCACACCTCCCTTTCCCCATTCTCTCAGTTGAGGATCTCCACTCTTACTCTACTGAGAATATTGAAACCATTCTTCCTGAGCTTTCTCTTCTCAAATTCTCTTCATTTCAAAACCTCTTGGTGTCATCTTCTCTCAATCTCTCTTCCTTTTTTCTGGGCTCTGATAATGTCTTTCTCCTTATCAAGATCTATCTTTTGATATTGCTCTTGATCTTATGTCTTTTGTCTCTTCCAGCAAATTGTCCCATAGATCATCTCTTCTCTCTGTAATCTCCAACTTCTCCCAATCTACTCTTCCCCCCGCCTTCAAACATTTCCAAGTCTCTTCCTTAAAACAAACAAGCAAAAATCTTTTAAATCCTTTTACAACTTGGACCCATCCTGGCTTTCCAGCCTAATTACACATCACTCCCCTTCCAGGACCCTACAATCTGTCTAAACTGACCTTCTTGACATTCTTTACACAAGGCACCATTTCTCTCCTCCTGTGCCTTCGTACCAGCCATCCCTCATCCTTATAATGTACACTCTCCTCTACCGTACAGAATACATATCTTCCTTCAAGCTCAAATATCACTTTCTACATACTCTTGGAAGAGCCAATCAATCAATAGATGTCTTTTAAGTGTCTATGATGTATCAGGCATTGTGCTAGGCCCTGGGGGTAAAAAGGAAAAAGTCAAACAGTCCTTGTCCTCAAGTAACTTCCATTCTAATGGGAGAGATAACATGTAACTATATATACATATATATATAAAAGATACGGGATAACCTTGGTATGAGAGGTGGAGGTAGGATTGATATGACTTAACTTCTGAGTAGATGGGATGAATGAGGGAGAAGGAAGAGTAGATGGTGATTCTGAGATTGTGAATATAGGTGACTAGAAAGGTGGTGGTGCCCTCAACTGAAATAAGGATCATTGGAAAAGTTGTGGGCTTGAATGGGAGAGGGAATAAGATGGGGGAGAGACAAGATAGTGAGTTCTGTTTTGAACATGTTGATTTTGACATGCATCACTGGTTGGTGATATGTCATTGGAATTTAGGGATAGAGGCTAGGCCTTGATATATGATTATGGGAGTTGTTAGCATAGAGGTAATGGTTGAAATTACCAGAGCTGATGTGATTACTGAAAGAGTATGTAGGAAGAAGAGGGCCCATGACATAGCCCTAGGGGATACCCATGCTTGGGGGAATGGGGTCAACAATGATAATTCTGTAGGAGACACTAGTAATAAATGGCCAGACAGGTAGGTGAAGAATCAGGATAGAGAAGTTTAATAAAAATCTTGAGAGGAGAAAATAGTGTATAAAAATCCAGAAGAGGAGTAGTCAACAGTGTCAAATGCTTTATAGAGATCAAGAGGAATTAGTACTGAGAAAAGAACATTGGATTTGGCAATTAATAGACTATTGGTGACCCTACAGAGGGTAGTTTCATCTGAATAAGTGGGTTGCAATCCAGATTGTAAGAGACACAGAAGTGAATGCTCAGGGAGAGTATGGAGGTGAGTAAAGACAGCTTTTTCTTTGAACTTGGCTATGAAAGGAAGGAGAAATATAAAATGATAGCTTGAGCAGTTGGTAGGGTTTAGTGAAGGCTTGTTTAAGGTCGGTGAAGATCAAGGCATATGTGTAAGCAATAGGGAAGGAGTCATTGTTATAAGAAAAAATGAAAAATTAGGGAAAGATGGGATGAGCCAGGCATCAGCTTTTAGAGGATGCAGGAGAGATAGGATCACAGTACAAGTAGACAGGCTGGTATCTGCTAGAAGGAGCGTCACCTCTTCCTCTGAGACTGGATTAAAAGAGAAGACAGTGGTCAATTGAGTCATCTAAATAGTTTTTGTCCCAGATAACTTTAATATCATCTCACAAGTGGATCAACATGGCTCAAGGTGTACCACAAATTCAGAAACCAGTCGTAATAGGAGCCAAGCCCTCACTGTCCCCCACGCCTAAAATGTTTTCCTTCCTCACCTCCCTCTCTCTATCTTCTTCAGGGGGACTTTTCCAATTCCTTCAACTACTAATAAGATCAGCAATTCTAAGATGACCTTCTTCTCCTTTGTGTAAATTTTGCATGTACATAATTAATTACATGCGTTGTTCTCTATTAGAATGTGAACTCCTGGAAGACAAAGACTATGCTTATTTTTCTCTGTATCCCTAATGCTTGTCTCAGTGCCTGGCACATAGTAACTGCTTCATAAATGGTTTTTGATCGACCGGTAAACTGCCTACACACTGTGGCATTCATAGCTCTTATGCTTGGGGTGAGATTGTATTGTTGGTTGTGGACAAAGAACTTTTATCTTCTACTCACTCAATGAGTGGCTTTATGGGGCGAAGTTTCCTTATAATCTGAATTTAATTAAAATCAGTAAAGTCAGTTTAATCTGTGATAGATACTGGCATACTAGGCTTTAGTGCTATGTTGGTTAATAGACCAAGTAGCAGGATTACTCTTCACAAAAAAAGTATAAGCACAAACCCAATATATGACTCATAAAATTTTCCCCCACACTGCTTTTTATAAAAAATAGGTAAAGAGTTCCAAGAACATATCAAAAGTTATTCTCATTTCTTGAAATAATTCATATATTTTACTTCTCTGGCTCTGTGTGAGGGTGAAATTCACTAATTTAGCACAAGATAAAGGAAGCAGGTAGATTCAGCATTTGTCTAAATTTTTCTGCATTTAATGACACAATCCCCATTAGGTGCCATATTCTTTTGAACCAACACCTGTTAGAAGGGAGTCCAGAGCGGCTCTACAGCAATCTAAACCACTACTCAAGAGCTCTTGGGTTGTTCTTGGAATATCAGAGCACACAGATATGATGGTAACTTGTATCTGTGTATCTCTTGATGGCATTTTTCTATTGTTTGTCAGTATACTTTGATTCCAGGGTGGAGGGGAATGTTCCCCTAAAGAATTATCACATGAATAATTCTGTAGGTGACAGTCCAAATTCACATTCGATCTGCAAAGGGTATGAATATTTGGCCTCTATTTCTATAATGGGGTGTTGTTTGTACGAATGTGCTCTCCTCATAGTATACATCTTAATATTAAGAAAAAAGCAGATAACAGAAGCCTTACCTCAAATTGTATATATTTTAAAAGATTCTTCTTTTGAGCAAACATCTTTATGTATTTTTGGACCTCAGTGTTATGTGTAGTTAGGATAGTCATCAGGATAAGGGAAGTCTGGGAAACACATCATTTCTTTGCAAGAGTTGGTGAATACAGATTGGTAAATACTGGCCCTTCCTTCCTCTGCATGATCCTAGGAAGAAAAATAAAGTTTAAAGAATAAATCAGCAAAAAACTTTATGGAGTCATTAAACATTAAAGCTGGAAAGAATTTTATATATTATCTAATCTAATCCCCTTGTTTATCAGATGAGGGAACTGAGGTGCAAAGGAAGTAAATAAATTGCTTAAGGTTACACAGGTGGGGATCTAGAGTTCAAGTCCAGTTCTTCTCACTTCAGTTCCAGTGATTGTTCATTGGTTATATCTAATGTGGAACTCTGAAGAAAAGCCAGCTCATATTCATCATCTATCTTTCTATTAGCTCTCTGTTTTGTTGTTGTTATTCAGTTGTTTTCAGTCATGTTCTACTCTGTGACTCAATTTGGAGTTTTCTTGGCAAAGATACTGGAGTGGTTTGCCATTACCTTCTCCAGTTCATTTTACAGATGAGGAAACTGAGGCAAAGAGGTTCAGTGCCTTGCCCAGGGTCACACAGCTAGACAGTGTCTGAGGCCAGATTTGATCTCAGGAAGCTGTCTTCCTAACTCCAGACCTGGCTCACTATCCATTGTGCCATCTAGCTGTCCCTTTTTGTAATACTCACTGGTCTGTGTCTTCCTTCCATATAGTAACACAAGTAAAATGTTTGTTTCTAAAAGATGGTCTTTGCTTTCATGAGAAACTTGAGGCTGGCAAGAAAGCATGATTTCTAGAAAATAATCTGACTTTTTATCCTTCTCCTATTCAACTCTGAATGTTCAGCTAGGCGGCACAGTGGATAAAGTGCTGGGTCTGGAGTCAGGAAGACTCATCTTCCTGAGTTCAAATTTGGCCTCAGATCCTTACTAGCTGTGTGACTCTGGGTAAGTCACTTAGCCTTGTTTGCCTCAGTCTCCTCATCTGTCAAATGAGCTGGAGAAGGAAATGGCAAACCACTCCAGTATCTTTGTCAAGAAAACCCCAAATGGGGTCACAAAGAGCCAGACACAGCTGAAATGACTAAACAACATTTAACTCTGAACCAAGCTTCTTGTTCTTCTGCATTATTTGTCCCAGTTATACCTGCTTTGTATTGGTTATGTTAACATATAGCCAATTGTGGAATGCTGAAGAACAGGAGTATAAGATAACATCAAGGAGATCTATGATAGGAAGAGAGATGGGCTGATGAAGTGGCAAGAGTGCCATATGACAAGTGGACAGTCAGAGTGCTCCACTGGAACCATTTTCATGTTGGCAAAAAGTGAGGAAAGACTCCGCATGGGGAAGATGTGGGTTCAGGGTAGCAGACCTGAAAATAAACATTTTCTCTCATTTGGAAGGAAAAGATTGAAAATCAACCTGTGGGATGTCTCACTAATTCATCTATTAACAAATTAACATAGTTGGTGAATTTGCCTCACCCAAAGCCTAAAAGACCATTGTGTCATGGAGGAAACTCAGGTGAATTCAGAGTGGATCCAAGTATGTTTTCCCCACTTATCTGCAAATGCTTGGAGACAAAGGCACTGAGGATCCAGAGAACTGAACCTGTTGATTATCTCTAGTTAATCTTGTATGTACTTTTTTGTTCATAGTTTTTCCCATGCTATCTCCCCCATTAGACTGTGAGCATCTTGAGCAGGGACTGTCTTTTATCTTTCTATAAATCAACAGTGCCTGGCATACATTAGGTGCTTAGTAGATACTTGATTACTGAATTTATAAGTAATATAAAGTGTCTTAGGTGTTAATGTCTTGCCTGGAATTGAATCTCTTCAGAAGAATCTCTTCAGTTCTTGCTGTGGCCATTTTGATGCTATTTTCCAAAGCCCCTTTTTGCCCATGACTCTTGGGTTTTTCCCTCAGTAAAGGAGGCAGGTTTGAGTTTGGCAGCAATGAATGATAAAGGGACTATCTCTCTCCTGGCTTGGAGGCCTAAATCCATCATGCCAACATTTATCAGCCTCACAGGATTCCCCATTAGTAAGCTTACTTTGTTGGCATTCGTCAAAATATGCTGTGATCTCCCCCAAAGTCACTGAAGTTTCCCCCCACATCCCCCTGATTTTTATCTGCCTGCTGAAGTAAATGGGTCTTTTTCCTGGGCAAGAATACAAACTTCCACAGCAGAAAATCAATTTTGTCTTCTCCAAAGTTGATACCTAAAGCTTCTGGCTTTCAATTTAATTTATCATGGGTCAGCCCTTCAACCTTACAAAAAGCCTTGTGTTAGGGGCCTAGATCCACCTTGCCAGCAAAGTGCAAAGCCTAGCAAGTTTGAAAGGCCTCACTTAGAGGCTTAGTTGCAGACAGTGTGTATCTAATCTGAGGATGAGCCTTATTTAGTTTGGAGGTTCTTATTACGAAAAGGTTGGCCAAGAGACAACGATTTTTTTTTCCAACAGCAAGTCACAAAGACTATTTACTAAAGAGTTGAAGAGGGTTTCAATTGGTGTCTATGGGTGCAATTAAGGAGACAATTTGGTATAAAAGAAAAAGCACTGGCTCTGCAGTCAGAAGATCTGGGTTCAAATCCTGCCTCTAATGATTACTCTCTGTATGAGACAGACAATTCATTTATCTTTTCTGAACCTCCAAAACGAGGCAGTTGAGCTTGATGGCTTTTGAAGTCTCTTCTGGCTTTAGATTCACCATCCTCTCTTCATTTGAAGGAATAGATTTGGGTCATTTCCAAAAAAAAAAACCAACTCTAGTTCATTAGTAGCTATAATAATATCTATCATTTATGTACATTCCATATATCATCTCATTTAATCCTCACAACAACCCTATTAAAGTAGGTGCTATGATAACCCCCATCTTATAGGGGAGAAAACTGAAAATGAGAGAAGCAAAGTCATTTGTTTAGGGTCACGCAGCTAGTAAGTGTTTGAGGTAAGATATGATCTCAGGTCTTCCTAACTCCACATCCAGTACTCTACAAATAATGCCACCATCAACTACTCTTCATTAGTCTGCCATCTATACTGAGTTCTCATCAAAATGCGGAGTATGTCTTAGGTGCTATTTTCAGGTGGAAGATGGGATGCCACTGACTTGGATTAGTATATTTCAAGCCCAATGAGAAAGAACAGGTTTCCCTTTGCTTTTCTGAAGCTTTTGTCATTTCTCAAACACAAAGTTTACATTTAGTTTGTTTTGCCATAGAAACCCTTCTTCAAGTCCCCAGTGTGGAGTCATGAAATTCAACTCACTGCGTATTTCCACAGGCCCCCAACATCATCACTCTTCTCAAAGCAGGTGGGCTCAAGTCCTTCTTCCAAACAGGCCCTGATGGAAGCCAGGCCGCTGACCCCAGCTCCAATGACTGCCACTGTCTTCCTCATGGTCTCCTGTGTGAAACAGATCCAAGCAAAGTTTGTTCAGCAGCATTATCACTTAAGGCTTAGTAGGAAAGGACAGGATTGGTTTATACTCTAAGACATGGCTCATCTGCATCCCCTTACATACTAGCATATACACATAGTCATATACTAACAGGCCCAATTCTATTCATCCTTACCTCTCCTGGGTCAATGAAAGAGACAGAGATAGTGGACTGGAGGTAGAGTGGACTGAACACTCAACTCAGAATCGAAAGTCAAGGAGCTGGAGAGGAGCTCAGAAATCATTTCCTTAAGCTTTCTCATTTTATAGATGACAAAATTTGCCTAAGGGCACAGGCACAGTAAATAGCAGAGCCAGGATTTTTAACCCTATTATTCTCTTATTCTGAACATGGGGTTTGCTGGGGGTTTTTTGTTTTTTCACAGTTCATCACAGGTCTGATTTTGGTCCTATCTAGGGACTTCATCTAGGTCTAGGTGTTCTACTCTGAGAAATGAAGAAAATTGATCAATTGTTTCATCTATAAAGTGAAGATAATGCTTTGTCTCTCTAAAGGCAGAAGCATGGACCAGATAATTGCTGGAAGTCCCTAAGATCTATGATTCTCTGATTTCTTATGATACTACGTGATTTGAGAAGATCTTTCAGGCTTGAATATATTAAGATTCTAAATACTGACCAGAATTGTAGATGCTGGTAATTTGTCAGCTGATTCCTTGGATGCTGCTATTCTGCCTAAGATAGGTGTGTCCCTGGCTTGTCCAAGAGACACATTCTCTTTTCTCTTTGGACTTCTGTGTTCTTACCTTTGGATCAGTCAGCCTTCCTTCTCACAGATCATGGGCAGGTCTAGAAAGGTGGGAGGAAAAAAATGTGATTTTAATGGGTTTTGATGTAAAAATTGATGGGGAGGAGTTACTCTTAAAGAGAACTGTCCTTTCACCTTCTGTGTTATACAAAGCAAGTCCTAGCAAAACCTGTGGTTGAGGAATAAGACTCTGGGTATAATAGTGGGCTTAAAAAATACCCATTGATTATATTTGGAGAGAATACATGTAGTCACTTCCCAGCAACACCAGGACTGTAAATTGAGATATGTGGGAGATTAAGGGAACAGCCATTCTTTTGTCAATTAATGCTTTGGAACAATGAAGTATACAAACACAGGTGCTGCACCTGGATCTCATTGTACAGTGGAATGAAAAGATGTTTTGTTTGCTTTGTGTCAGGGATGCCTGGAGTAGGCAAAAGTAACCTGTGTCAGTGATAGGTTAGTAAAAGCAATAACCCAGAAGGCATGACCAGGGCCAATCCTGGGCAAAATTATAAAGTGAGCCAAGTTTGACTTGGGGCAGCCTTCCACTAGCACTTTTCCCCCTAAGTTTAGGGCCTCTCTTCCTTTCCTTTTGCCCATCAGGTGCCTCTCATTCTTGCAGGGCAAGTCCTCTCTGTCCCTACTGAATGTTAATCTCTGACCCAATGTCACCTGGCTTTCACTTGCCCTATTGCCAGTCCGCAGTAGGGTCTGCATTTCACTTGAACCATCTTCAATAAAAACAGACATGTTTACCACCATTTTGGTTTAGATGGTTTGTGAATCTATCCATTATCAAATGTTTATTCATTCAACAAGTATTTATCAAGCACTTATTCTTTTCAAAGCACTGGTAGTCCTTGGGAGCTTCAAATAGTATGAGATAGGGTTTTTGTTTTCCACTGAATGAAAAATTCGGGTAGGATGAGGACCCTGTAATTTTTTTTTGCTTGTTTGTTTCTCTGCTATTTTGTATTTCTCCAATATTTTAATATTTCTCATGACACTGTTGTGTGCACAATCTCTTTGAATTGATGAAGACAAACTTTAGTTCCAGGCTAGGGCTAGCCCTGGCTAAGAAGCAATTTGTTTTTCCTTACTCCTATTTGGAATGATTTCCACAGCTCCTTCAGTATGAGAATTGGAATATTTCAGGTAACAATTTAGGTAGAGAATAAATTCCCCAGTGGCATTTTGTGGGTGCTAGATAAGAGAAGTCCTGAGATTCAGTGTCATAAGAAGAGACGTCTTTCCTCCATTACTAGACTTTTGGGATCCTATTTTTAACATCATTTTCATGGTGGGCCATAGAGGCCAGAGATGCTCTTTACAGAATTGTGTCTCCTTTCTTGAACTGCCCTTCTTAGCTCCCCAAGATGGCCTAATATAACTCCCTGGTGCGTGGGACAGTGACCACCAAAATCAAGAGTTTGGAGTCTGAATCAGAGATCAGAAAAGGTCTTTATTCTTTCTCATGAGAAAGGGCACATCCCTCATAGCTCTCTAGCAGCGGCAGCCAGGGAGTGTGCACGCAGGCTGTGAGAAGCAAGCTTTTATAGCCCCAAAGCATGCCCCCTCCCACTCTCTTACCTCTTGTCCCCATTGGCTGGGTACTCTAGGCATACAATCTAAATGCAGCAACTAATACCCAATAGAAGCAAACATACCCATATTTGGGAACTAGATGTATGCGTGTACCAGGAAGCGGAGTGACCAGGAACTTCCTGCGCTGATGTGGATTTCTGAGAAAGGTGAAACTCAACAATGGCCTTATTAGGCTTGAGGGGACTGCACTTTAGGCCATCTCTCACACTGGCTCCTACCTGGTTTTTTTTACCCAAGTAGATCTTCCCTGGGAAGAACCCTGTTTTTTGGACCTTTCTTTCTACTCTCCCTTCTATTGCTTTCAATTAACTATGATTCTGGAAAGGCTCTGGAACACTAATTCATGCAAAAATATTTATGAACAATAATATCTTTTTAAATACACATTTCATTGACATTCAAAAATTTAAATTACATTTACCATTGTATCCTCCCTCCTACCCCTCCCAGAAAGCTACCTATTATACTAAAGAATAAAAAAGAGGCATTTTTCAAAAAGTTCTTCAAAACTAATTTTTTTAAAAAGTCTGGCATTATATGCAATGTTCCATACCCACAGTTTCCTACTTTTGCAAAGAAGTAGGTAGAGGTGTGGGTAGTTAGGTGGTAGAGGAAGTAGAGTGCCCTGCACCTGGAATCAGGAAGACTCATATTCCTGAGTTCAAATCTGGCCTCAGATACTTGCTGAACTTAAACAAGTTGCTTAACTCTGTTTGCCTCAGTTTCCTCATCTTTAAAATGAGCTGGAGAAGGAAATGACAAACTGCTCCAGTAACTCTGCCAAGAAAAGCCAAAATCAGGTCATGAAGAGTTAGCAATGACCTAACAACAAAGCAACATTGGGTGGGTGGTGAGTGGGTGTCTTCTATATCTCTTCTTTGAGATCATGATTGGTAAAATTTTGCAGCATTCAGTTTCAATTACTTCATTTCATTGTTTTCATGTCTGCATTTACATTGTTGGAGTCATTATGTAGATTTTCCTACTGGTTCTGCTTACTTTACTTTGCATCAGTTTATATGTCTTCTTATGCTTCTCTGTGTTCATCATGCTCAGTTTCTTACAGCACAGTAATGTTATGTTCACATGCCACACTTTGTTTAGCTATTTCCCAATTGATGGGCGTCTACTTTGTTTCCATTTCTTTACTACCACAAGAAGTATTGATAACGTATTTGAACAATAGTATCTTAATGTTATTTCCTCTCACAAGGGAATTTGAACATTTAAAAGTAACAATGTCAAACCAGGAGAATTAATAAGAAGTGATAGAATTTCAGACACTAATAAATCAGATTAGAAGCAGAGGAAAATTCCATTTGAGTGTGTTTGATGAATGTTCCTCTGGTGCCTCATTATGGTATGAAGGCTGCCAGCAAAGTACAAGCACTGTTTCCTTTGAAGCAATGATACGCTGTGATTACTGTCCAATGTCCAGCCTAGGTAAGTTTGGAAAAGCTCATCTCCAGAAGGTTAATCACCTGGGGACAGACTTTTTTGGTCTTTGAAACTTATCAAGAACATCTATTAAAGCTTAGATAGTGATTACAGAGCTAGATCAGCGGAAAGAGTACACACAATGATGGTTCTTGATGTATTTGAAGTGTAGCATGCCTGTGTGTTTTGGGGAGATAGTGTTTTCCAGTACCATGAAATTCAGGCTATGTGGGCCTACTTTTGGCTTAAAACTAGTTTGATTTTCGTGGACTAGTTCTATAGTACTGCCTCATGGAATCATATACTTAGAAGTGAAAGGACTTAGAAGTCATCTGCTCCAACAACTTTGAGGAGCCTAGAGATGTAAAATGACTTACTTAGTCACAGTTAGTAGGTGGCAGAGACAATATTGATACCCAGGTACTCCAACTCTAGATCCAATGCTCTTCAACAGAAACATTTTTTGAATACCTACTAAATGCAAGGCTTTGAGAAAGCTACAAAAATGAATAAGATGTAGTCTACTGTGCCCTTCAACTACTTTCTCAAAGTTTAAAGTATTATAAGGGAGATGCGACATATATATATCAGCAAAAATGACCTACTTAGTATTCCTCATACATGACTTTCTGACCAGCCTTTTCTATAGGCTGTCCCATCATACATGGAATGTCTTCCCTCCTCATCTCCAACTCCTCGATATCTTAGCATTCTTTAAGGCTCAACTCAAATCCCACCTCCTTCTAGTGACCTTTCCTGATTCCCTCAAGTTGCTAATGCCACCTTCCGATGTCTTTGTATTTTGTACGTATCCTATATTTATTCTTATATTAACATGCTATATCCTACTAGTAGAATGAAAGCTACTTGAGGGCAGGAGTTATCTCACTTTTGCTTTATATATAGTGCCTGGCAAATTTAGTAGAACACACTTAATAAATGCTTGCTTATTGCTTCATAATTGAAAATTAGAATCTCATAAGAGAGAGTAGAAAAAGGTTAAGGAATTTCTAAGTGGGGAGATGTCATTATTGGCTGAGCTGTTGGAAGGCTACCTGCATATGGGTTCTATTGGATGCAATCTGGGATTTCTTCAAAATAAGGAATTCCTAATGAGTTGATGATCAAACTGCCACTCACAGCCTTGGAGAGTCATCTGAGGCACTGAAAGGTGACATGATTTACACTGGAGCACATAGCCAGCATATGCTAGAAATGGGACTTGAATCCAAGTGCTCTGCACTAGTGACTGGCTCTTTATCCTCTAAGGCTGCTCACTTATAGGTAAATGTGGCAATAGTGCAATTAACCATTGGCACCCTTTATATTTAGTTGATTGGAAAGGACATAGGGGTCATGAAAGGACCTATCTCCTTACCCATGAATCTCTACCAGAGCAAAAAGGC